CCACCGCCCCGCGCCCCCCCCCCCGGGGGGGAGCCACAAGCCCCTGCAAACGGCCAAGCGAACGCAGCAGCCCAGAGCAGGGGCCTTGCAGGGACCGGCACCTCCGGCACCCACACACGGCCCCGGAACAGCCTCAGGCGGCATCGCCGTGTCCCTCGCTCCACCTGCAGCGGTGGAGCTGGGGTTGCTGGAGAACCCACCAAGAACCCACCCTTGGGGGATGCTCCAGGCCACCCCAAGCAGGGCACCCAGCCCTGGCTGGCCAGGGGTTCCCTGGGACCCCCGCGCTCCCCGGCAGCGAGGGCCCAGGCTCACCCCGCAGCATCGCACGGCAGGGGGAGCGTCTGGCTCAGGCACAGCAATCGTTAGCTCTGCTGCAATCGTTAACAGAGCCTCATCAGAGCCGGGACAGGGAGTCACGGCCCTGCAACCTTCTCGGTAACGTGTGCTGGTGCTGGACTAAGGGGAAACTCCCAAAATCAACCAACTCTCGCTCAAGAGCTAGCCACTTGCAAGAGCTGCAGGGAGAAAGCAGTGCACCTCCCTGGACACCTCTCAAAAGCACTGCCAGAGACCGCACTAGGCAGTGCATAAGAGTTGCTTGGCAACATATACAGTATGTCTGAAAGGGCACATCTATGCATATTTGAGAGAAGCAGGGGAACAACCTGGCAGCTGAGACCCCACGGGCCACAAAGCAGCCCAGGAAACTCCCTCAGAAACACTCAAAACCCCATTGCTTTTACTGATTCCTAGTCCTAACAAAGCACTTGGGGAGCTGCTGATGAAAACTGCCTTATAGAACAGGAAAGGATCCTGTTTTGGGGGTATGGACATGAGTTGCAGAGGATGACCATAGCACAGCCAGGTCATTAGCAAAACACAAGCATTAACATCTGTGAAAATTTTAAGGCCCCAACGGGCTACAGGGAACTGCATTTTTCTACTGAACACTCCCCTGGGTCCAGAGAAATGCATGCACTAACAGAACATGGCTGACATCCCTGTAATGCTGCTAAGGGTGTCATCTGTACAGACTGCATTGACATGGGAAAAACATTTCATACAGCCCACAGCAGCTTTGCACAAGCAGCACTAGCTACAAATAGCTTTACTGGAACTTGTGTGATGCTGAAGAGCAGCATTATTGGAGTGCACAGGACTGCAACCTGCCAGCTTTAAGTTAAGGCTAAAGCTAATTGAGTTGTGAAAGCAGTGATTATCTATCACATGCCTTGGTCCAGCATTTATGTTTGTTCTCACAGAGTCATCCCACTTTCATTGTGGACATGGAATGCATGACTCTTACCATGCATCCAAGGTTAGGACAGTGTTTCATAGTACAGGAGTGCTTTTCCACTTTTGGGATCAATGGGAAAGATTCATGCTGAGGCTGGACAGAAGGAACACATGGAGGACTGCAGCAGACATACAGCAAAACTCTTTCCACTGCCACATCGCTGCAGTCCGCGATGGAAAGGACATCAGTCCTTTTGTTAGGGCAGGTAAGAGGAGACGAGCTGTTGTAGGGTGATGAGAGCTGGGCATCTTGCGACTGTATCGGGATTACTCAATTGCACTTCAGCACTGTGCAGTTTGTGTCCAGACATGTGAACACCTGGGTTTTTTTCCCTTTGGGAATCTGTATTATCTAGAATGAGATTACCCTAACTGCAGCCTTACCTTTAATATCTTGGGAAGACATCTGTAAAAAGACTCCCTAATGACCTAACCACTGGGCAGCCATGAACTGCCTTATAGTGTCAGAGTAATTCATGACAACTGCTTGTTTACATGGAGAAATACATCTCTGTCTCTCTGTACACCGAGGTGAGATGATCCAAACTGATGTGCGGCAGGTTCCCAGATTCCTCTGCAAGCTGAGAACTCACTATCTTGACACTGATACCTCTGAAGGAAACAACTTTCTTGTGTTAGGTTCACTGGAAGATCAGAAGACCTTGAAAAGTTACTATGATTATATTTACTTTAAGTCCATGCGACTTTTCAGGGCAGAGATTTCCCCTGCAAAGAAGTAAAAATTTGTTAATAAACTGAAAGTTTCACATAAGAAAACAGGGAGGCAGGAACGCTACTAACCTTGAAAACATGAAGACCAGCCTCTTGCTTTTTTCCTCCCAACTGCAAATCAATCATCCACTTGACAGCAAGCTTTTAATCTTATGCCACTTAGCAGCAGTAATCATCTCACTTTATTTGGAATTTGTGAACAAGTATTCTGTTTATTAGCTTAATAAAAGCTCACATGCATAGAGCTACAAACATCAGGCACCTCAGCACACACTAACACAGGGTTCCCCACTATTTCAACCTTCTTTATGCTGTAGAGAAGCCAAGACCACCATGGTGGAGATAACCCAATGAGTATGAAGTCCCCACCATGTTCACTTGCTACCTTTACAGCTACTACTGGAAAGCACAGCTCTCCCACCATACTTACATCTCATTTACCTCCGGAACATGTCATATATACTTCACAGGTTTAGAAGTCCTCTTGGCTTCCTTCTCACAAGCATATCAAATGTCTTAATGCAACACTGCATAAGAGGTTGTCCATGCATCTAGACTATACATGACTTTTTAAAACAAGTAAGCAATTTGAAGTCCCTGAGTTACACATCACCTCCTTACACCACTTCCCCAGAAGTCATCACGTGCTTTCTGGTTTACCAATTAGCACTGTTCTTCCACAATAGCACCCTTCGGTGATCTCATGAGGCATGCCACCCTCTTGTGTCCAAGACAAGTTTCACTAGTTTCACCTGGAAGCAGGTATCAGGATAGCACTTTACCAGACCAGAGGCAAACAGCCCACAGGTGTCTGGGCACACAGGTCTCTCCCAACCTCCCTTCAGAAGTTTGTTGCTGCTGCTGATTACATTTAAAAGAAAGTTCAGTATTTCAGACCAAGCAAGGAACCTTTGCCAATTAGAAGCAATTTTCAACAAATCATCATGATAGACTACCAAAAGCAGAAGTATCAAATGTAAGCAACTTGTAAACATTAGTGACATAGTAGCAGATTCAATTCACATGAATGACCACAGAGACAACTCACAATTCAGAAATAGCCTTTTGTCATGAAGTCTTTATGGCTTGACAGAAAGAAAGTTAGATTTGTTTTTGAAATGGTTAGTGCAATTTTTTATTTGAGAGGTCAGCTATAAGAAGAGTTAAACAGATGAATCCAGTATGACACCTCAGCTTCCAAGCTGTTTTTGAACCTGATCTGAAATATGGCAGTGGACTCTTATCTAGAGTCAAGGCATTTGTGATCTCAGAAATAAAGCCACAGCTATTTTCCCCAGGAGATGGTGGTGGGGTTAATTTCTTTAAGGGATAATTCGTATCTCATAAAACAGAGGAAGGAAAGCTTAGCAGCTTAACAGCATCAGAAGTGCAGCTGCGTGCTTGGCCAGTAGCTCTGCAATCCACACATACAGCTTCATCTAATACATAATTCATTTGGAAAAGTGAATGAAGGAAGGAGAAGTGGGCAGCCTCAAAGAGACAGGTAATGCAGCATTTGAAAACAGTTCTTTCCCGGAAATTCAGACTCCTGCAAAGTAACCTTGGGCTTTTACACCAGCAGTGGCTACAAACAGCGTATTCTCCAATGCTGTCTGAATTTAGATCCTCCTCTCCTGCTATTTCATGCAAAGCAAGAATGAATATCCAAGCTTCTATCCAAAGCAATAAAGTCAGTGTCACTTTCCTTGACAGTGATAATGGTGTTTATGGAGAATTTTTCTTTTAAGTAGCATACACCTTTTTGGAATCAGAAGTCAAGCTTCAAGACACTCACCATGTTTTCAACTTTCATTTGAGTTATCCATTCTTTAATTTAGGAGACACCACTAGGTGCTGGCACCACCATTTCCTTATACTTATTGCTTTTACAAGCTATATTCTTTCCAAGGACACCTAGTTCACTGGAGCATCTTTGCTCTTCCCCCCCATTTCTCTTCCAACACGAAGAACTCCCATTAACCCTAATGGAAGTCAACGTATGTGCACACAGGACATAATAGACCTTTTAAGGCTATATGGCTGACCAACAGAAACAGAAAGATACATACATGTAACTGAAGTTTTCTTCCATTTAGCAAAGGGTACTGAGTTTTAATTGAGACTCTTCAATCGTTACCCTTACTTTCTTATACCCACCTTCTCCCCCTACCCCCTTAATTTATGGGGAAGACTCACTGTGCTTCCCTAAGCAAAACAAGAAATAGATCACACCAAGTTTGCTTCATAGACCAAAAGGTAAAAAAACAATACAGGACAAACTGGTTCACAGTTAACTATAAATAAAAGTGCAATAAGTGTTCAAGTAGAGTGTAGAGTTTAAGCAAGCTGTACAACCACATTTGGCATAGTCATCTTTTAAAGGCTCTGCGTGGGTCCCTCCCATTACTGACAGCAGGGAGAAGAGGCTGAACACTATTAGCTGGTGCTGGATTTACAGGTCCTCGTCCATTGCCTCTCCCACTACCTGCATAAGTGTGGCCGTGATTATATGTAAATGGAAATCCACTTGATTCAGGTCCAGTTTGTAAACCATTTCCTAAAAAGACAGAAAAAAGGTTATCACGAGTTCCATGGACTGAAATCACGGCTCCCTTACATAAGTTTAGCAACAGGGAATGCATGGAGTTTATGGCAACCAGCAAACCCTGAGCACCAGAAGGAAAAGCCCCTCAGGCACTGCAAGACCCTAAACCACAGCTCTCCTTTTTTCCCCTTCCCAAACTACCTCCCCTCCATCCCTACCACCCGCTCTCAACTAAAGCAAGAAAAGTCAGAGTTGCATGTGATTCTTTGCCCAAGAGAGAGACTGAAGTCTCATGAAACTAGACTGGTGCTTTCAGAAACATGCACTGGCTTGTAGGTCACACATCAAGATGTTCCAGAGAGACAACAGTGCAGCAGAAGTCAAGGAGAAACCAGCAAAAGAAAGGCAGGCTACACAAAGTTCCTTGTGTCATTCCTCACTACCAGGCACACAGAAATAGAAAGCTGCCTTGTGAAGTCCAGCCACAGAAGCAACTCAGCTAGCACCGAGTTCTCATGAACCTCAGCCTCACAAGCATCACTGCTCATGTTTTGCTGGTAGGAAGAGGGACAGAGCTGAAAAGGCAGAATGATGACAGAAGCACAGGGAGAGGAGGAAGAGACAAAAGGAAATCATTGCATTTAAAGACCACACAAGAAGCAGGAAGAGACAAAAAGAGGTTTCAGAAGACATGCACAAGCACAGTGAAAACAGCCAAAGCAGGGACACCAAGGAAGTACCTACACACTAGTTGCGCTGAAAGCCTACTCGCCTCACCCTGGCACTGAGGAAAGACTGGCCTGAAAGCACTGCCCTTCTTTGCTCAGAATAATTTTTTTTTTTCAAAGGAACAGAAAGGGCTCGTAAGAGAAGTAAAATAAGAGAAATGAAAATCATGTTGCTAAAGAGGAAGCAGACAGTCACTGAATTGAAGTGACAGAGCTTTTTAACAGCAAGTTATGAATCGGTTTGCTGTCATCCACCAGCAGAGCTCAGCTGTACAACACCAGGTACCAGGTCTGGGCATCATGTAGGCAGGCCACAACTGAGGTTTCCTCTCAGCTTACACCCACTCAAGTCTTGAAGCATTTTATTACTTAAGATTCAATGTTTAAATACATCACAAAATGATCCAGCCAGGTCAAATATTGGAATTCAGATTACTACCACTTCTGTTTTGGGGAGCTAACCTGGCAGGAAAGCCAAGGTGACTGGCAAGATTAAAGAAGTCATTTAAAGCCAACATCTCAAATGGCTTAAAAACAGAATTTCAAGTGCTGCAAAAGCTCTTAAAGCATCAAAACAACTTAGGACTAGTCAAGTCCTTTTACATGATACAGGAACCTTGAATATTCTGATCTCTTCCTCTGCTAGGGAAGAAATCCCGAAACCATTATTCAGGAAATGTCCATGCTTATGTGCTTGCAGGTTCAGGCCCCAGTCTAAAAGACTTTTTAAAGCATAGTACACTTTTGCCCCAGAGTGGAGAACCCTCAGCAAGATAAATTTCTTTTTATTCCTGTTAAGTGTTTCTCATCCCTTCACTTTCACAAAATGAAAAAACTTACCCAGTGGCCCGAAAGTACAAGAACCCATATTACTTGATGCAGAACTATTATTCTGTTCACCCTGTACCTTCAGAGAAATGTAAAAAAAAAAAGAGACATGGATCAGAGAGAGAAATTTCACATTTTTAGAGAAAAGGGCTGATTTTTTTCCTGTGTTCTTATAGTGGCTCCACATGGAATTTATCTGCTACTCTAATTATTGGCTCATTTTTGTCTATATATCACTTCAAGTCCATTTTTCCAGAAGAGTCACATCTGATGACAGCCTAGTGTGAAGTATTCAGAACAAAGAGCACTTTATGCCAAAAGCCTCAGACAAGTTTAACATACCAGTTTGTTCTGCCCGACGTGTTCTGAGTTGGGCTCACTGAAGTTTGGCACTTCTGAGTATACCATGCAGAACCTGGGGAGAAATTAGGATTATGAGGAAATTCTAAAGCCATTTTTTAACAGAGTTCTCAACTCCACAACTCAGAGCTTATGTTCTTGACATATCCCACCATCTAGAAGTAACTAACCCAAACCCCACTGTTCAGAGAGCATCCATAGGTATTAAAAGGCTTTGATCCCTTTATAGGCTTGCGGCGAAGCTGTCATATCTTCCCGGTGAGGGTGTTTCAGTCAAGCAGAGGCAAGTACACGTTTACTCTAGGAGGTAAAATGGCCTTAAGAAAACAAAAGGTGATGAAAGGGCTCCCTTCACCTCTCTTCCAGCTGCACACTCTTGTCCAGCACCCACTCACAAGGTCACCTGAGACACAGAGTCACTCAGCCTGCTCCCAGACTGTGACTGCATTAGATCTCTAGGGAAAACTTAAAACACTCCCACACACTCCCATGCTATGGAGTGCCCCATTAACATAATAGCACAGCAGAGTCCAAAACAGGGAGTGCAACTTAAAGCATCCTTTTCCACTCAAGGGAACTATGGAGGAATAGGCCCCCCAACTCACCACAGGGAAGTTAAAGAGAGTTGGATGATTATGCAGCTTGGACTGGTTAAGCAGAAGTGGAGCCCCCCCTCCTGCTGGGAGGCACAACCCAGATGAGGACTCACCTCACTCCAGCCAGTAAGCCCATGGGATGACACTTCTGAGGCGATGGCTTTGCACCAAAGAAAACCTGCAGGTCATCCCTCACAAAATCCAGCTGAGCACTGGGCATTTTTGGACCATCTGAGAAAAGAGGTGGCCAACCCACAGCCCCACTTCCCTGATGACTACAAGACCTCCCACGGCACTTTGTGCAACAGCAGAAGCACTCTTCCGGTTAGAAAATGTTGCTATTTTTCCTGTTGCTTGTCAAGTATGTTACTCATGTTTGTTCTTAGTCAGGAGGAGTTGCCGCCTCAGTTTGCGGGCAGTTTAAAGAGGCTTGCTTCTGTTTAGATATGATTCACTGGAGTTACCTCTGTCTTCCTTCCTGGCACTGCTCGTCTCTAAAGCATGACACACACACACAAGGCTTCCACCAAAATAAAGTGGTTATTCAAGCTGAGGCCTAAGGAAGCAATGCAGATGAAGTCCCTCGTAATTTATACAATTCCCCCCCCTTCTAGGTAAAACCCAGACCTGTGCCATGATGGAGGACAATTTTCCTCAATATACCTAGAATCCAGAGAGGGTCAGAGCTCATTACAACAGCATGTAAAAACCTCACACCACAGTTGCCTGTACTGTACCTATCCATGACCAATCAACAGGCTTTTGCTGCCCTAGCTTCCATTTACTAAGAGCCACCATGTCTTGTCTTTACCATGACGCTCTGCTGAGAACAGGACATAACACCGCAAGTATAAACACACAATACTTACTCCCCAATTTTATGCAGCTCGCCTCCTCGTCCTGTGTAAAGTGTCAGGCATCCTTTCCACAGAGATGCATACCTGGCCAAAGAAAGGAGAAGCACAGCAGTGTCTCTTAGTGAATGAGAATTACCACTGTTAAAGAAAGTAGAAGATGCTATCTTCCAAGAGTTAAGAAGTATTACATATCAACATGAATAGACTAAAAAAATTCCCAGGGACCCCAACTTTACCACGCTAAAATTTTATAGATCCCCAAGTTTTACTTCTAGCAAAAGGTACTGGAAGCTCAGCTGACTCCTTTGGCAATTCCAGGAAAGCAGCCAATTACCTTGAGACTGGATGCTCTTTCCTTGGCTGGAGCAGCCCTTACAACTGTTCCTGCAGATGAAAGGCATCTCGCCAAAAGCAGTATATGTGTTACCATTCACTGGCAACTCTCAGAAGAATTACCTTTGTTCACTGGACAATATAAATACTGCTAGTGAATATGCAGAATAGGAAGTGCTTACTTTTTTAGTATAGGTCCTTACCAGATTTTTAAAGGCACAAGTTTGACCATCATGTTCCAAGTGACATATAGAAATGCAACGAAACCACTTTTTGATTGAGGAAACATTCACTTACAAGACAGCGTGAGTGCACTCTAGTCTTTATAGTGGCACTTGACTTCAGGCACTGGAATTTGAGTTATGCAAAGCTTTCTGTATAATTGTTCCTTTCAGTGAGGGGCATCATGTGTGTGAAGAAAATAATGAAAATGCAGACCAGAAACCCAGGTGCAGCACAAGGGAGTTAACAGGAATATGGGTGTCTTCTAGCAAAGGAATAGGGAGCCCCAGCAATTGCACTCTCAGGAGTGACAAGTAATCTGGACAAGTCACCACTTCCTTATGCTCCGGTCTATCTCTGGAACACAGATAACAAACCTTCCTCTTGCCCTTTGCCTTACCTGCTGAGACTGGGAGCCATCCGGCTACACACAGGGCCTCGAAGAGAGGCAGCAGGGAGGACCCAGATCGGCAGAAGAGGACCATAATGCCAATGCGACAATAACCTTCTCTGACTTCAACACGAGCAGTAAAGCATAGTATCTATAGTTATGGTGCCTGTCTTGGGAGTTTTCCATCCAGAAGCAGGATTAATGCCCTTCACTTCATAATGCTATCTTTCACTTGAAAGATTCCCTCTGTGCTTAACCTTTAATAACCAGCTGGTGGACAGTCTTGTGGCAGAGCACAAAGGAAAAGAGCTACCAAATAATAAATGTAAGTCAAACATACATTTACTAGGACAAGACCCAGCAAATCATGGGACTGATAACCCCCAGCACAAAGTTATTCCACATATGCAAGCATTTGTTTTTGTCTCAGAAAGAGCTGGCCATAAAGCACTAAACTCCAGAACTAACTTTGAATTTAGAAATAAACTGCAGCAGCTTCCTGTAAATGAGTTCATCAGCCAATGACAGAAATCAGCAACAGTGTCTGCTTTTGCAGAGGAATGCATCTACAGCTTGAAAAGCAGGAAAAAAAAGGACATGTTTACATGTGGGGCCTAAGCTTTTGTGCTTCTAAGTGAGCATCCTGCACTGAAAAGTCAGATTAGCCTATAGAGCTGAAATTTACCTGCCTTGCAATGGCAACATCAGACACTCAAATTAATCCTATTTGAGTTAAGTACAAAACTGTGTTTGGAGAACCTTGTATGCCAGCATGAGGGCATTTTTCTTAATATGAAAGGCAAACCAGAACGTATTTAGCTTTTGCCATTTCACTCACTACACAGTCCTAAGTGAGCATGCAATTCATGTAAATGAAGGCATGACTTAGCCATCCACTAGAAACAGTGATGTCAATTCATAAATTTAATCCATACAAGCCAAACTCACTTTTTGCCATGAAGGGATGCAATGACCCTCCCACTTGTTGCACTGAAACACCAGAGCAGCTACAGTAAGCCAGTCACAGAGCAGAGTGCAGTAACAGTGCTGAACAGTATCACTATTAATTTGTTTCAGTGTCATCTATGCACAGGGCTTTGTGCTGGCCCAGAGCTCTGGTTTAGTTCCACCCATCTCAGCGCCCCAGCACTCCACGTGCTCTCCACGCAAGCAGGCTTCCCCAGAACCACCTCTGCTGAGGACTCAGCCTATTTCGTGTAAAAGGACATTTGCATAGGAGGAAGCAGCTGTAGTTTTGGTGGCAAGGGTCATCCGATTTCACTCCAAAACCAAGAGCTACACTCAGATGAACAACTTAAGAGCAGCTCAGTTAACAGCTCCACTGAGTATCCTTTTACATACTTTTTCATAAAAACAAATTAGAAGGACCTTACACACACCGTAGTTCCACCATCTCCTGGAGTGCTGTAGGCCAAAGGATCACTGTAATAGATTTCTAAGTGTAACCTCACTGGCATAAAGAACTCAAATAAAAGTGACTATCGCTTTGCTACTGACAATTTAAGTGACATGGAAAAGGATTTTCAAATTGAAACTAGCATTCCTTTCTCACAGATAATAAACATAAGGGTTTTTTTTTTTTTAAATTAAACCAGCTCCGAGATAAGTGAACTGCACCTAACCAAACTAACATGCTCTACAGTGTAGCCCTAGTATGAATTTTTATAGTGAATTTGAAAAGCTTCTCCTTCTCTGCCTGTCATTTCTGTTAAACCCACTGCAATGAAAAGCAACTTTTCTGCATGAGAGACATCAACCGTTCCCTCCTTCCCTTAAGGAGCTGACTGCTAGAGTCAAGAATTGGCTGTAAAAATAAGTACATGCTTTTGACTTCCCCGCTTGATTTACAGACCAGGACCGACTGTTGCATTTCCCCCCTCCCCCCCCAAAGAAGTATTTTCCTAAGGAGCTTTTTTTTAAAGCCAAACCAAGTCTCTTAAACACCACCTCCTCACTAAAAATACAAGCCCTTCCTAGCCATCGACTAGATTGTATGCTCATGCTAGGCATGTTCGGGGTGGGTGAGAAGGTTTTAATTTGGCAAGTGGTCTCAGGGCGCTGCCCCGGTAACAAGGAGCCAGTCCAAAGGGGGGCGAGCTGTGTCATCCGTGCCCCTCAAGAGGCGGCCGAGCCCGCTCACAACCCCGCACCTTCGCCTCGGTGACAAAGGGCTCCCCCCGACCCGG